GTCCCCGAAGAGAAGAAATCGTTGAATAAAGTTAAAGTCGTTATTTTTGTTTTCTTTGCACACAAAAAAGTATTCTCGTAGCTTCATAAAATTACAGTTGAACCACTGATGGATGTCACATGGAGCATTTTAACGTCATCCTCACTACCTTTCTGTGCCTTGATCGTAGTACCCTTGCTGTGTATGAAGGGGCAGAAAGCTCTCGGATTTAATCAAAAATATCTTAATTTGTGTTCCAAAGATGAACGAAGGTCTTACAGGTTTGGAACGACATGAGGGTGAGAAATTTGACAAAGGAGAATGACAGAATTTTCATTTTTGGGTGAACTAACCCTTTAAGCAACCAGCATCAACTTGTCCAGACTGTAAATCAGGGCAAAAATCTTGGTAAAAGTCATGTAGTGACTGGCTTCAGAAGCACTGAACGTCTGACCGTTTTCACTGGCCTGGAGAAGAAATGATGGTTCCAGACCAGTCTTATGATAGCCTTTTAGAAATTGAGATTTACACACCATCTGAAAGTTGAATAAATAAGCTTTCCATTGATGTATGGTTTTGTTAGGATACAAGGCCAAGATACAACTATTTGAAAATCTGGAATCTGAGGGTGCAAAAAAAAAAATCTAAATATTGAGAAAATCACATTTAAAGTGATCCAAATGAAGTTCTTAGCAATGCATATTCCTAATCAAAAAATAAGTTTTGATATATTTACGGTAGGAAATTAGCAAAATATCTTCATGGAACATGATCTTTACTTAATATCCTAATGATTTTTGGCATAAAAGAAAAATGTATAATTTTGACCCATACAATGTATTGTTGGCTATTGCTACAAATATACCCCAGCGACTTAACACTGCTTTTGTGCTCCAGGGTCACATATTAGTTTTTTTTTTTTTACGTAGGCCTAGCATTTTTACAGTCTTTTACCATTAAAATTACAATAATGTTTTACAGTGTTAAAATGTCTGAAAACCTTGAAATCAGATTGTAATAAGCCACATCCAGCATTATTGTTTGTGAGGTCTGAGGTACTGTAAGAAAGACAAAAGAAGTCCAACAATTCCAGGCTACTTCAGATTAACGTAAAGGCTGGAATAGGCTACATTTAAAATCTGAACAGATTTAATGCTGGAGGACTGTCCCCGAAGAGAAGAAATCGTTGAATAAAGTTAAAGTCGTTATTTTTGTTTTCTTTGCACACAAAAAAGTATTCTCGTAGCTTCATAAAATTACAGTTGAACCACTGATGGATGTCACATGGAGCATTTTAACGTCATCCTCACTACCTTTCTGTGCCTTGATCGTAGTACCCTTGCTGTGTATGAAGGGGCAGAAAGCTCTCGGATTTAATCAAAAATATCTTAATTTGTGTTCCAAAGATGAACGAAGGTCTTACAGGTTTGGAACGACATGAGGGTGAGAAATTTGACAAAGGAGAATGACAGAATTTTCATTTTTGGGTGAACTAACCCTTTAAGCAACCAGCATCAACTTGTCCAGACTGTAAATCAGGGCAAAAATCTTGGTAAAAGTCATGTAGTGACTGGCTTCAGAAGCACTGAACGTCTGACCGTTTTCACTGGCCTGGAGAAGAAATGATGGTTCCAGACCAGTCTTATGATAGCCTTGAAAAGCAAATCCCCAGTAACCACAATCATTACGTCCAAATCGCATGCTGCAGCTCTACGATGGCTGGAAATGCCCTCACATGCAATTACCACACATGAAAAGTGACAAAGAAATTTCTATTTGAGCTCAGTCATGCAACACGACAAAATACAGAGGTGAAGGTTTCAGAGCTAATGACATGCAGCCGTTCAGACGAACTGAGCTAAAAAACACATTAATATGGCAGTTGTTTTTTTCTGTTATTGCCATTTCAAGCACAATGGTGAGTCATTTGTGTAAAACTCAATGCAGCAATAATATATTGTAGTTGCTAGGATGCTCTGAGTGGTTTTAAGGTGGTCCATTCTCAAGATCCTCAAGTCATTTCTGGTCTGTAAATATGGCTCTGGTATTCAAAATAGTTTAGAAAAACAGTGCAGCATAAGTTTTAGGTTTGATGCATGAGCAACAGCAATAGTGATGCTTGCCTTTGTCAGACTGATCAAAGTTTGCCCTTAAACCCACGGCCTAACCTTAACCTCCACTTGATGTTTTAGCCCAGCGCTCACTCTCGCTCTCAACGCCCTCAGGGAAACTTTGCCCTCACCACAGCTTTCACATGAAATGTGAAAAATGCCATTAGGGTGAGACAATAACATCCTAATGGGCTCGATCTCTGTGAAAGAGAGTGACTTCTGCAGTTTCTGAAGCCAGCATGGACAGAGATTCAGTGCCGGGCTAGAATTTGAAAACAGTTTTTGTGTGTCATCCAGAGAAGTTAAAAAAATTAATAAATAAAATAATTTATTCTCATCTAAAATACATTTCACAGTAAAAATATTATTTAAAAATATCTATTTGACATTTATGCATTTGATAAATGCTTAAATGACTTGCATTGCATTTGCACTACTGGTAAAAAGTTTGGAATAATTAAGATTTTTTTTATTTTTTTAAAAAGAAGTCCTTTTATCTTAAGTCTAATATTAGCATATTAGAATGATTTCTGAAGGACCATGTGACACTGAAGACTGGAGTAATGATGCTGAAAATACAGCTGCGCATCACAGGAATTAATTACATTGTAACATATATTAAAATAGAAAACAGTTATTTTTAATTCCAATAATATTTCATAATTTTTACTGTATTTTTATCACATAAATGCAGCCTTGGTGAGCATGAGAGACTATTAAGACTGTTAAAGACTATTAAAAATATTAAGAAATCTTAATTAAAATTAAGCAGTGTATTTTGTACTATTTTCTAAGAATCAAAGTTCATGCAAAGGGAGTGCTGTAATTTAATAATATCAAATATAATTTCCCATAATTTCTATTTTAAAAAGTCTTATTAGTGGCGAGCGTTTCTAATAGTATTGCTTGGCAGAGAGCAGATCACCAGAATGTCAGTAAATGCACCTTAGTTTTTGCTCTAGTCGAAAAATCTAGATTATGTATAATGTATGCATTTAATTAAATCTGCAATGTACTATTTAATTCACCTACGTATACAAAAACAATCAGAGTCTCTCACACATGCTATTAAGGCTAAGGGCATTGTGTAAACTATTCTCGGAATATACAGCGCTCTTATTCTCTGTGTGTTCTGTAGATCTGGCTGATATGAGAAATTAAAAATCACATATAAAGCAGGTTGTTAAAGTTATGATAGCTCCATATTGTGCTAAAGCAAACAGCTTGCGGGGGAAAACCCAACAAGCTCTCTCTGCGTGTAATCTCCCGTTATAGCTTTATGGACGAAGGGTCGGTCCTTCCAACCGGAGTTTCATAACAAACGAGCAAATAATCGGACAGATCTCTCACAACACAGTTTACAGATCTGCGCTAAAGCTATGTAAACTACAGAGAGTAGGCCTACACACTTTGCTCAGTGTGATATGGAGCTGAAACATGATTACTTCACACGTGGCTGCATCTGATGGAGATGCGATATAACTTATTGAATGTCTCTGTATTAACTGCAAAAATAAAGAAATGAGGACAAATAAAGATGTACATTTATACATTTGGGAGATGCTCTTAGCTAATGCAACTTACATTGCATTCATGCAGCTGGAAATCAAACCCATGACCTATTTCATCTAAATCACAGTAACATATCTGTTGTTTACAGTTTTCTTTATTATGCTTTATTTATTTATATACATATACATATATGTATTTCCATGTTCACTTTTAGTGAATTCTGAGTAAATATAATAAATTATACTATATACATTTATATTTATTAATTAAAATACATATGCATATTTATTTATATTATTTCTACATTCACATTTTTGTTTGTGAATATAGAATTTATTTTGTTTTTCATTTATTTAATTAATTAAATTGTATTTTTTCACAAAGTATACCATTCAAATGTTTGGGGTTTATATGATACATACATATAATAGTTATTATATATATATTTTATCTATCTATCTATCTATCTATCTATCTATCTATCTATCTATCTATCTATCTATCTATCTATCTATCTATCTATCTATCTATCTATCATTATATTTTTTTTGCTAAAAATAAAAATTATATTTGTTTTGCTAAAAATAAAAATAATAAAAAATCATCAACAATTATATATATATATATATACAGATGATTATTTTTTATTATTTAAATTTTTTTGCAAGGGTGTATAAAATTGATCAAAAGTGACAGTAAAGACATTTATAAAAGATTTCAAATAATTGCTGCTTTGCTAAAAATAAAAATAATAAAAAAATCATCAACAATTATATATATATATATATATATACAGATGATTATTTTTTATTATTTACATTTTTTTTGCAAGGGTGTATAAAATTGATCAAAAGTGACAGTAAAGACATTTATAAAAGATTTCAAATAATTGCTGCTAAACTTTAAATTCATCAAAGAATCCTGAAAATAAAATGGTTTCTTGGTTTCCACAAAAATATGGAGCAGCACAACTGTTTTCAACATTGATTATAATAATAAGGCCTTTTTCCTAAGCAGAAAATCAGCAAATGTTAAACAAACAAAAATGAATGAGTAGCCTATTATTTAAGAGCCATCATGTATTCTTCAAAGAATAACCCACAGCGGGTGGAACTGAACTTGGCAGGGCAATTTGTAGTGAAATACAGCAAACGCTCCAAAAGACAAACGGTCTGAAGATACCAGTATTTATGTCAGGGGTGGTAAAACACTCATAAATTGCACCTTCACAGTTCGGACTACATGTCAAAAACTTTTCAAAAATCCACGAGGAAACAGCTATCTTTGCATCTAACCCTCAAGCAAAAAGAATATAATGCCTAAAGTGAGCTTCAAGAAGTAATCTGTTATAATGATTAACATGCAGAAGAGATACTGAGACGGCAGACTCACAGCAAGACATCAGGCTTTCAGTAGTGTCTCAGGTCACTGATGGGCCGCTTCTTCTGCTCATGGGAAAAGTGGCTGTCGCTAGGAGCGAGGTTAGGGCACGACTCGCTAGAGAAAGCACAGGGGTCATCAGCGAAGCGTGAGGCGCCTCGGGTCTCGACATCCAACACTTTAACCCTTCCCAGCATTCCACAGACTGATGAGACCAAATATCAACATCCAAACACATCAGCAACTGATCATTAATACAGATCAATTAGCCTATTTGATATCTCGTCTCAGATAATGAGGGTCTCGTTCATTAGAAGGAGGGAAAAACATTTAGTGGGATATTTTGGAAGTAGATGTACATTTTTATTCATGGGAATAGCCAATAACTGTAATCACCTTTTTTTCTCTTCTCTTTACGTGCAATATGGCTTTTATTAAATTATTCTTTATTGAATTATTTAACTATTCTTCAGCTGGATACGTTGGCAAGTCTATAATTTTGTTGTGTGTAAGTACAATGATAATAAAACGAATCTGAATCACCTTCTATATTCAAATATTGTTAGTGTGTTTTGAATGGATGTTGTATAAAATGTTAGCATTTCTCATTTCATTTATTAAATTCAATCACATTTTATCACATGAAGTACCATTCAAAGTTTTATTTATTTATTATTATTATTATTCACTTTTATTATTCACAAGATTGCATTAAATTGGTCAAAAATAACAGTGAAAACATTTACATTGTTGCAAAAAATATAAATATTTATATTACAGTATATCATACTATTAACAATCAATATGGATACTCCTATATTCTAGTTTTTGATTATCTCTTTGTACATGATATAATATATAAAGAGAAATAAATAAAACATATTAACATATTTAAGAAATCTAAAAAAAATAAATAGAATATTTAAATTCCAACATTATTTATTTAAATGAATAATTAAAAAATTAAGAATTTTATTCAGCAAGCATGCATTAAATTGATTAAAAGTAACAGTACAAATATTTAAAATGTTACAAAATATTTCTATTTCAAATCAATTTGAATTATACATTTCTATTCATCAAAGAAAAATTAAATGTATCATGGTTTCAACACAAATGTTTTCACCATTGATAATAATCAGAAATGTTTCTTGAGCAGCATATTAGAATGATTTCTGAAGGATCATGTATCACTGAAGACTGGAGTAATGATGCTGAAAATACAGCTTTGATCACAGAAATAAATTACATTTTAATATATATTCACATTGAAAACAGTTATTTTAAATTGTAATAATATTTCACAATATTCCCATGTTTTACTGCATTTTTCATCAATTAAATGCATGATACAAATGAGCATTTTGACCAACCTCAAACTTTTTAGCATCATTGTGACTCTATAAGTGCAAGTTTTCAAACCAAGTTTTTGAACAAGTGTTAATTTGATTAATTCTATATAGTCAGGGTAAGGCCTCAATGCAAGTATTTACTTATATACTAAAATGTGTAACTTGACAGCACAAATATCGGAGCTGTTAAACCAGATTATGAATTTAGCTGAACATATTGACTGTTTCACTCACTTTTGCTGACTTGTTCTGCAAGATTCTCTTCAAACTGTTGCTCCACCTTGACAATAGTTGACCTGAAAGAAAAAACGGACCATAAAAGAAGATAATTCATGTAGAGCATGTTTCAGGCCTTCTATAGGTACCTAATAAAATTACCTAAAAATCCCTAAGGCACCTAATAAAACTCTTTAGATTATATAGGGTGCACAAAAACACAGGAAAGGTGATCAGTTCACAATATAGCATATGATTGCATGAGCAGAAACATAATTTCAGGCGGCTGGGGGTGATACTATAACATAGTTTCTGTCCTCTCCAAATAACCAGTAATCTCTCTCATACAAAGACTCTGCTGTCGCTCTGTTAGCAGCCAGGTTTAACTTTTCACACTTTGGTTCTCTTTCTCATTCCAAACTTAATTAAAAGATGAACTTCGGGGGAAAACGCGTCGAGTACCGTCCGGTCAAAAAATCTGAAATGTTTTTATAAAATTAAGCAAACACTTCATGAAGCTAGTTCATTGAGCAGAGTGCTGAAATTACAGAGTCAGACTGTTAATCATCTAAAAATAATATATGCCAATATTGCATCTGTGTTGATACCTTCTAGTATTTATTGTTCTAATTCAAAAGAAATTACATTTTGCCCTAAAGAAAATAAATTACTGTTTTTAGGACTATTAAGATTTTTTTCTGCAACGTGATTATTTTCATAAAAATTAATCACATTTCTAAGCACAATTCTTATTACCACAATGAAATAACTTGCATTCTCATTACTGTAATGCAATATATAAAGAAAGACTAAAGAAAGAAAGAAAGTTACAGCATTAATTACATTTGATTGCTGAAAAGCATTGTATTACAGTCATTTAAGTCATTTATGTACTGTAATGAGAATCTAATGAGAAACATCAAAATAATGAGAATTTTATAATATTGAGAACATCCTGACACATTGTGAAAATTTATTATTTGGGTTTATTTTCTCATAAAACTGAATTAATGTCACAATGCAAAACATAGTCCTAAAATATACTTCATTTTCTTTATGCACATTTTTTTTCTTTCTTTTAATTTTCAAGTTTTGCAAGATTCATCTTAATTGTCTTTTAGCCATACGTGACCCTGGACCACAAAACCAGTCATAAGGGTCAATTTAAAAAAAATTGAGATGTATACATCATCTGAAAGCTGAGACTTGCTACTGCAATACATCCACAACATGCTGCTGTGAGCATGTAAGAAATATTGCTGCTGCAAATATAACATACATGAAATAACCCCCATATAGCATACATGAATCACCTCAGCAGATCTATACAGGTGGAGCTGGGGAAGGTGGAGGGTTTCTGAAGCAAGCTGCAACTGCTACGGCAAGCACTAGTCACAAATTTGAATGTTGAGCAGCGAACATTCAAAAATATCTAAATATTGAGAAAATCGCCTTTAAAGTTGTCCAAATGAAGTTCTTAGCAATGCATATTACTAATCAAACATTAAGTTTGAATGTATTTACAGTAGGAAATTTACAAAATATCTTCATGGAACATGATCTTTACTTAATATCCTAATGATTTTTGTCATTAAAGAAAAACGATAATTCTGACCCATACAATGTATTGTTGGCTATTGCTACAAATATCCCCCAGCGACTTAACACTGCTTTTGTGCTCCAGGGTCACATATGAGCGAATGAAAAGAAGTTTGCTTTTCCATTTTCTGTCAGTAATGTTAATATGCTAATAGCTGCATATCATAAATCAAATTAATTTGTTCTGATGACAAAATAAAAATAATAAAAGTAAGCATCACAGAGTTATGAAACATTACACAAATCCGCCAATGGCTAATATCAGCTCTTTGTGTTCTGGGAAGGGCAGCTCTGAGCGTCTTTGATTAAAGCAGCGGGTGTCGTTGGTCTAACCTGATGAAAGGCTGTTTGAGGTCAAAGGTCGAGACTCTCACCATTAGCATGTCACTTGCCCTCAGGCCTGTAAACGGTAGTTGCTACAGTTAGTTGACTAAACACGGCTGAAACAGCACAGCATCCTGTTCCTCAAACCGTCTTCATAATCATCCTCGTGGAGAGTTATAATGGATGGAGGTACAGTAGATTTCATTATCAACTGGATTTGTATAACTTTATCAAACAGAAATTAATGTTTCAGAGTAACTCAAACCAACTAACACCACAAAAGACCACAGTTCATCTGATCCATTTCTGACACTTCCTGTTGTTTGTGCTATAGTTTTCCCTCCAAAATGATGTCACTTCCTGGAGGTTGATGTCATCAACAGGAGCTGGTTAGTTAAAGGGATCCTACAAAATGAAATGTGATACTTAGAACTTCTAATTGATTGATTATCAATTAAAACAATGTTCCCAATAAAACCCATGTTTAAATAATTTTGATAAAAAGTAACAATAATAAACCTGGAATATTTCTAAATAAATTGCCAGTTTTTCATGTTAAAAGTGAGTGCAGCACCGTGACAAAACCAAAGCAGAAAAATACACCTGTGTTCAATTTAATGTGGTGATGATAATATTTTAACCAATATATGAAGACATTAAAATGTAATGCATAATGCATTACTTACTTTATTTACAGCTGTACTGTTCATAAATTGTGAGCACAAAAACAAAAATACAGCATATTTATTTCCAGAATAACTTACTTTAAAATACACTGAAAAAAGTTTTTTGTTTTTTTCGAAATCGTAAATAAAACAATGATTATTAGAGTAAGTTTAACCAATTTTCATGTTTAGTTCAGTGTGCTGTACTACATGCTGTTGCTTTTTAATTGTTTCTGAAATTGACATGCAATTTTTTATAAAAATTGAAAAGTAAAAGTGTTTTAAGATTACATAAGTGTATTTTGCCGTGTTGCACTGAAAGATGTTTTCACTTGTCTAAAGCATAAACCTCATAAACTGTATTATTAAATTTTTTTTATTTTATAACAGTTGTTTTTGCAGTGCATTGCGAAATACACTGTAAGGCAAAATCTGTAAAGAAATGGAAAATGTCCTGCAGTAAAAAAAAATCAATATGGAAAATGCTTTCATATTAACACTGTATTTTTTCTGTAAGTGAGTGTAAATTTAGAGCTGCCAGTGTTTTTGGGCCTTCAGCATCAGTTTCAAAACTCAGAGGTCAAAAGATCAAGTTTGTTTTTGTTCACTCTCTTTAGCTGCCATTTATTTTCTCGTCTGGACGCCTCCCAAAGTTCAGCAGGTGTGGAGAAGTATGGCAGTTATTCCTCTAGACATCTAACAGCTAAGAGGGTTCGTTGAGTAAGCTGCTTTAGGATTGACAAGCATTGCTCAGCCAATCAGATGCAGCCGTGTCGGCGCGACGTCAGCGGAGTCGCCTTCAGGGGACTCATGTCACAGCGACGGCTCCATGATGGACAGCCGCACGTCTTCGCACCTGTGATATCAGATAACTACAGAGTTAAAAACACTACAGTGAAGTATAGACTAAAACCCCTCCCATGCACTTAGCATGACCGGGTCTGTCGCTGAGCGCCGGGTTCATTCAGGTGCAGCCCAGAGCGTTGGTCTGACTCTGAAAGAAACAAAATAGATTCATTTTCCCACACTTGCAAATGCCGCCTCATGGCCTGAATGCTGACATGTCTGTCTTACTCTTACACCACATTAAAAAAAAAATTTACTAATCGGAATCAGAAAGAGCTTTATTGCCAGGAATGGTTACACATATGAGCAATATGTTTTGGTGACAGAAGCGTCCACAGTGCAACAGAATGACAGTGACAAGACAAGACACATCATAAAAAGAATTCTGTCATGACAACTCTCGGAGGGATTGGCATGGTAATGTACATGACAATGTTAATGTATTTGGTCTTGGCGGAATAGATCTGCTACGCTGCTGCTGC